GTGACGTCATAACGGCTCGAGGAGTGCCAGACATAAAGTCGCCTAGCGGAGAACCGAATCAAGTCGTAGAACAGTGGAAGAAGAATATTGTCTAATGTCGAATAGACGCAAAAATGCTGACCGCTAAAAAACGATTATTATAGTGCGTTTTTAACTAAGTGATAAAGTTGTTTATTCAGATGACGTCATAATGATTACTTTATGTTTGAAAATCTTTAACTAATAAAATCCGATCTTAATACTTCTTAATCCAATTCGCATTGAAGCACGAGATACGAAGCTTATCTGGAAACCTACTCGAACGTTCGAGAAACATACATACAAAGTTTGAATACGAGGGAATGATTCAGAGTACGATCCATGTTAATGGAACACCGGGTTTCTTTCGCAAAGAAAGCATGAAGAGGTTGGTTATTCGTGTACGTGCTCAGCGAGGGATGATGAGTGAAGAAGGGTATGGACGAAGTGCAACGCTGAAACAAACGAGTTGTTTCAGGCAAGGATTTCGAAGCCACAAACTTCATCTAAGATAAAGTTCCTTGAGACAGGAATCATGGATCATCTTTGGATGAATAAAAATGGTTCTATCCGGAAAAGTGACCTTTCGATCGGTGTGCTCTCCCAATGCGAAACCTTGATCCTAAGCTGTTCAAAAACTGCAGGCTACACCACGTAGCATCCAATGATGAACTGCTTGAATATGGGTAACGAATATAGGTAATTTTTTCAACAAAGATGCAACAATGAAATAACGAAAAAATACAGAATGAGTAAGAGCACCAATGGCAGTCTGGCATGTCACTGATAGAGTCAAAGAATTGAAATGACAATGCACATGAAAACACATCGACCTAGAGACACATCCTTTATACTGTGTCCAAGAGTAAAAACAGCCGGTGAGAAGATCTCTAGATCGAGGCAGGACGCGGTGAAAAAATTCGATGCGTCGAAATCAATCAGAATCACAGGTAATATGTTTATGGCAATGTCTTGCAGAGGCCTTCATTCAGCATTAGATCGACAAATCTGATGATGATGATGACGGGAATAGAGCATTTTCAGGCCGAACGAAAAACATTCGCCACGATGGTATGACATGCAGTGAAAATACCATCGTTCCGTCAGGTGGATAACTATGATCCCGGAAATCAAAAGCATGACGGGGGAAGATATTTGTTACATGGCGTTCAATAAATTTCGCTGTTGTAACTGTCTGTTTCTCAACGGTCCCAATGCATCGAATCCTCATGAGGTGTACCTCAGTTAAACCTTTATTACCGTGATAATAATAAAAGTCTATATGTTGGCTTTGTGGTACTTGAACACAGATGTACTTCATATACCTCACAATTTTATTTGGTACAGCGATCTGTTTTCAGCATATTGACTAAACAATGACTGAGGATCTGGACTGCATGAATATTGGAGGATGTATGGCATGAACATGAAGAAGATGGTCGGTACGTGGCAGTATATACATATTGGCAACACTCGTCCAAGACCAGGTATCATTCGATACTGTACAGCCTTTTGCTCCGGTTGGTAGTCAACCTACTCCGGAATACGAACATATGTTTGTAATATAGTACAAGTTCCTTAAACATCGTTCATCTTGTCCATGAGATTGCTACAGTCAACATAACTATATGAGACGCACTTAGAACTGCAGATGCCAAAATACGGTACAGCCGTGTCCGTCTGATTAAGTGTCCTTCTAGACGAGTTTAAGCCTGGGCGTTATACAATGGACGGTGAAATCTGCTGCTGGATGCTTCAAACGTTAATTAGCCCAGTCGGGCATACGAACGTGTAATGGACTCGTACAGTGTCTGTAACTAATTTTATGCTTAGTTATATCTAATGCGCAGTTTGCTTTCTGAATATAGAAACAAATGTGCTCTGACGCCGCTATGGACCTAGTAGCGAAACACGTTGACAACAAAGTTTACGAAGTAAAGTGTTCAGCAACGGTTTTATCTGCCACCCTTACCAATGAATCAGCGGACTAGTTAGAAAATGAATGAACGAATGACTGAATGGATGAGTCAATGAGGCAATGACTGCTTCGTACACTCATACCATCGCCTACACATTTTCACTGCAAGTTTACGTCGCTTGACTGTTGCAAAGTTTCACTAATGTCTCAGACGTCACAGGTGCAGTTCTGTTCGGTCTGCCTTTACAGAAACAGCACCCATCAGCAAAGGAGGCCAAAAATTTAAAGTAGTTTACAACTATCGATAAGTCGGTGTGACTTGGTTTATGCATTGTGTTAGTAGACGGGGAGTGAGAGCAAATGTATGTAGCATGAAGACGGCTGGATGAACCGTACCGTACCGTACCGTACCGTACCGTACCGATCAAATCCGATCCGATCCGATCGCCTTGCTGTTCTTCTGGCCTTGTGCAGCTGACAACAGCGAGAAACCGGCCTCGGCCATAACTTGGTAAAAAGTGGTCGTGTTTGCCGACGACTCGACTTTTAGAGCCAGTGGTGTGACCGACCGGCACTTTACAACGACTCTGTCGTTGGCCGGTGATTGTCACATCGCCACGACCCCCTCGCGTGGCGGTCGCTGTTCCGGGCCGGTGAGTTTTTCGTCGGAGGACAGAATGAAAGTGAGAAGGTCGCGCCTCGTCGATGACCGACCTTCGCTTCGCGGCGGCGTTTCTCACTTTCACTACTACTTCACTGGTTCGGACGGAGAGAGGCATGGCCGTACCGCCGCGCCGCGGCATCGACCGACTTTGGGGTGAGCGACCGGCGACCGGGCGCCAGCAGTCAACCGTCCTCCTGTGTTTCGCTCACACTGTCAACGAGGACAACGTCTGGTGGTTTCGACGGCGGCGGCGACCACAATGACGACGACGACGATGAGCATGAGGACGACGGCCTGCACGTTGCTCACCACCCTCCTCGTTCTTGCCCATGTGTCCCCCGGTCGAACTCAAGGTAAGGCGTCAGCCAGCAGCGTGTCGCTCGTCGCCACTCGTCGTCTTCACGATTCAGACTGCTTCGGCCAAACGACGTTCGTCATCC